CCGCCGCATGGCAGGGCAGCACAACTCTGGCGGCCCTGAGCTGCAGCTGCCATGGCCGCCGCTGGCCAGCAGGAGCCCTGGGAGGGAGTGTGCGGCTGCCAGAGGACCCATGCCTGCTGTGGACACAGGACGGGGGCTGACCAGCCTGTCTCTGCATCCTTGCGTAGGTCCACAGGGATCTAAGCCTGTGCTGCCTCTGGGAAGAGGATGTGGGCTAGGGGGTCCCGGACGCTGGCCCTGGCCTCGCTGGGCCCAGCAGGTTCTGCCAGGGCCGTGGGGAGCTGGGGCCACCAGCAGCAGCACCCATGGGCCTCTGGGGCTGGGGAGTGAGCTAGCCAGACCCTCGCTGCCCGCTCTGCCCAGGCCCTTGGGGAAGCCTGGCTTGCAGCCTCTCTGTGCGGGGACCAGAAGATGTCTGCTGGTCCTTGGCCACCTCTTGCGGCTCTGCCAGCGTGCCCAGCCTGCCTGACCACCTCCTCCCTGACGCTTCTGCTCAGAACCTTCCCTGCGGAATTCCGGCTTGGCTCTGGCCTTTCTTCCTGCCCTCTCCTCCACCGCCCTTTTCCTGCCTGCTCTCCTGGGGAGGCCCCCACACTTCCGTCCATCAGGAGGTGGCCCAGTGGGCAGGGGAGGGCTGGGGGGTTGGGGGGTGGCGACTGGGCCCCTAGCAGCTGTCCTCTGACCCTGAGTGTCTGCGCAGCAGCTGGAGGCCACCGGGTGGGGGTTCCCAGGCCTTATCCTGAGGAAACCAAATATAGACAGGTAGGCATTCTGTCTCATGCCGTGAGGGGGACGGCACTGGCCTCCCCACAGGGGGTCTGGAGGCTCAGCCCCTCCCCCCATTCCCTTCAGCCGACGGCTCAGCCAACTCCTTCAGGGCCCAATTAGGAGGCTCAGGAGTCTGTGGGAGGCCTAGGTGTGTGAGTGCGGAGCAGGTGTCTGCGGGAGGGCCTGCTGGGATGCCAAGAGGCCTAACAGGTGCTCTAGCAGGGACCCCGTTCCGAGAGTGAGCCTTGGGGTGGGAGGGTGACCAAGGCCCAGCAGGAGAGCAGGGGCCCTGAGGGGCAGACGGCATGCAGTGGGGTCTGGCGGTTCCTGGGTGGGGCGAATGGAGGGGTGAGGAGGCTGCCACGGGAGGGCTATGGGCCCTGACTTCCCCTCGTGCCCCCAGCTGAGAAGGTGAGCTCTCTGGGCAAGGACTGGCACAAGTTCTGTCTCAAGTGTGAGCGCTGCAGCAAGACGCTGACCCCTGGGGGCCATGCCGAGGTGAGCCACCTCCCCGGGGCTGGGGGGCGGAGGGGGCGTGGGCAGGGCCGGAGGCAGCTCGGCTCTCCACACCTTGGGCCAGGCCTCACTCTGTGCCCCTCTGCCCAGCATGACGGGAAGCCGTTCTGTCACAAACCCTGCTATGCCACGCTCTTTGGACCCAAAGGTGAGCTTGAGTCCCCCTCCGCGGCCTGTGGACTGTTCCAGCACTGGGAGGGGTGGCCAGCCCACACCCTGGACCCCCACAGCCCCCTGGCCCCTTCTCCCCCTGCCCACTCTGGTGGGCAGTCCCTTCCACCTTGAACTTCCGGCCTCCTCCACGCCCTTCCCAGAAATCTGCCCGGCCTGGCTGGCACCCTATGGGTGGGAGGGGGTCCTCACCCTATCAAGTGGGCCGTGGAGGGCCCTTTTCTGAGAAGCTGGGTGTACTGTGAGGGCTGGGGTGGGTGAGGCCACCCCCCACAGCAGCGGGTCCCACCAGGTGTGAACATCGGGGGCGCCGGCTCCTACATCTACGAGAAGCCTCCTGCCGAGGGACCTCAGGTCACAGGCCCCGTCCAGGTGCCCGTGGCCCGGGCTGAGGAGCGCAAGGCCGGCGGCCCGCCCAAGGGGCCCAGCAGAGGTGCGCCGGGCTCGCTGCGGGTGGAGGGAGGGGGTCCTGGCGGCCCCGCCCCGACGGCTGGCGTGACGCGCGGTTTCCCCCCAGCCTCCAGCGTCACCACCTTCACGGGGGAGCCCAACGTGTGTCCCGGCTGCAACAAGAGGGTCTACTTTGGTGAGTGACTCCGCCCAGCGGCTGCCCGGAGGGCGGGGGGGGCGCCCGGGAGGGTCCCCAGCTTCACCATCTCCCCTTCTTCCCAGCCGAGAAGGTGACCTCTCTGGGCAAGGACTGGCACCGCCCGTGCCTGCGCTGTGGGCGCTGTGGGAAGACGCTGACTCCGGGCGGGCACGCGGAGGTGAGGGCGGCGGCGGCGGGCGGCTGCCTTGGGGCGGGGGTGGGGGGGTGGTGCGCGCCCGCCGGACCCGCCGGTGGGTGCTGCCCCCTGGTGGCCGGACGGAGGTGCGCGGAGGCCCCGCCCTCTCCGCCGGGCGGGGGGACTCCGGGGTGTGGGAGGCTGTCATGGGGCAGGGGTGTTGGGGGAGGGCTAGAGTGCGCGCTCACTCCTCGCTCTGCCCCAGCACGACGGCCAGCCCTACTGCCACAAGCCCTGCTACGGGATTCTCTTCGGACCCAAGGGTGAGTGTGGCCCCGAGGGCTGGGGTCTGGGTGCTCTGCTCCCCGCGGCTTGGCGCCACTCAGCTGCCTCTCTCTGCAGGAGTGAACACCGGGGCGGTGGGCAGCTACATCTACGACAGAGATCCAGAGGGCAAAGTCCAACCCTAGAGCCGCAGCCCCTCTGGGGGTCGTGTGCCCATCCGCCTCCTGAGCGTCCTCCGCAACCAGCTGCCCCGTGCTGCCCGGCCTGTCCTGCCTTGCAAGTCTGGGGCCTGAGTGTCATGGGGGAGGAGACCCGCTGCGCTGTCCGCAGACGAGGCCTGCCTGCCCATCCCCATTTCTCCCGCTGTGTCTGCCTTTGTACCCACCCCCACCCATGCCCTTTATGCTCTTTTATGTCCTCATGGACCCACATGTCCCCGTGTGTCTCTCGTATGTGTGCCTCTGTGGCCCCGGGTGGGTCTCTCTGAGGCAGCCATCCCACTCTCCCCCTCCTGCTGCCCCAGGCCCGCCCCCCCGGTGTTATTTCCGCTTCCCTTGCCGGTGATGGCCACAGCCACGCTCTTCACGGTGACCTTCGGGCAGACCTAGGGCGTCCCTGCCAGGAGCCCTCCGCTTGCCTCCCACACGGCCTTGCAAGCGCTTGTCTGACACCCTCACACGGCTCCCACTTACCTGCTGAGCCCGGCTGTCAATAAAAGATTTGAGGATGGGGGCTGAGCTTGGTCTCTGGTTGGGAGATGGGTGTGAATCTGGGACAGCAAGCCCTTGTGCCAACCCCAGATGCTCTGGACACCTGTGGACTGGCCTCTGCTGGGGGCAGGTCCTGTCCCCAAGGTGGGGAGGGGTCATTCTCAGGAAACAGCTCATGGCCTGGCACTGGGGGGTGGGGAGGGCAGGGCGTAGGTGGCCAAAGAGGGGTCCACTGCGGGAGTGCAGAGCGCTGGGGAGGGGTAGGAATGAGCTTGGATGGGGAGAGGTGCAGTCCGATGGGCCTGGTCTCCTTGCTTCAGCACTGGTTGGGGCTGGGGGACAGAACGCCGATGGTCTGAGGCTCCAGTCCGCCTGTCCAGGTGCCCCGCCCCCCCCCCCCCCCCCCGGCCCCGGCCAGCGTCCCTGTGTCTGGCTCTGCCCTTTGTAGCAGGACCCCTGGCACCTGCTGGGAGCTCCTCCTCATGGTGTTCCCTTGACCGGCCAATCCTGGACAGCCCACCAGAGGGCGCGCCTTGCCCTCCCTGCGCTGGGGCAGAGCTCGGGCGGCCCGCCTCCGCCCTTCCTGCCCCTGTACCCTGCTCCCCAGGACCAGCTCCCTGGGCCCAGCCCCTGGCACAGGCCCCTCCCTGGCCCACCCTCCAGTCCACTGGCTCAGACAGCTGAGCTGGATGCTGCGGCCATTGTCCTGCGAGCAGCCATCCGTGTCCCTGGGGGTGCATCGGCAGGCCCCCATGTCCAGCAGTGCCTGGCCGCCTTCCTCCCAGGCAGTCCAGTCCAGCTGTGCCCAGTGTGGGCAGCGGTGTCTCCTCCCACCTGGCCAGCCTGGGGGTGCAGCCAGCATGCGCGGGGCAGGTGGCCTGCAGTAGGGGGGACACTGCAGCAGGTACCCCAGGGACAGCCAGCGCCCGCCACCCGCAGAGGGGAGGCTCAGGCAGGCCCCGGCGCTCCGCGCAAGCTCCGTGGGAGGCCCCCGCCTCCCGTCCGGGGCCTGACTCCCCGTGGGACGGACGTTTCTGACCACGGGCTGCCCACCCTGGCTGCCGTGTTGGATGGGAAATGCCTGCCCCTTGCGGCGCGGGGAGCTGTTAAGGCCACAGCTCGGGCTCTCCCTCGGGAGCCTCCAGTGGAAACTATGTGGGGAGCGGACGTGGTGGCAGCGTGCCCTTTCCCGGAGCCCGAGCGGCCGCGGCCTCGCAGCGCATGAAAGCCTGCTCGGCCGCGCAGGGGTGAGAGGCGGGGACCGCCCGGGGACACAGTGCGCCCCGGCCCCGGGCGCTGGCGGGGGAAGGCGCGTCCCATTTCCTGCGGGCGGAGGATGACGCGCGCCTTGTTTGTTGCCAGCGGTTGTCATGGAAACCGGGGCGGTGCCGCCACCCTCGGTCAGGCGCGCGGCGCTAGCCGGGTCGGTGGGGGCGGCCCGCGCTCCGGGAAGCCTCCACAAGCTGGGTGCCTCCTCCGACGCCCGCAGCCCCGGACGCTCCCGCAAGAGACGGGGTAGGCGGGAATGGGCCCGTGTGCTCCCGGGCGCCGCGCTGGCCCCTGTCCCTCGTCTGGCCTCCACCCCTGCCCCTCAATTTCGTGCCAGCCAGTGGGGCGGCCCTGAAATGCCATCTAACTGCCTCCTTCCCGGTCCAGAACTCCAGGGCTGCGCGTGGCTTCCAGGCCTGCCTTCACCCACCTGCTCCCCAACTGAAGGCCGCCCCCTCCCAGGTCCAGGCTTCTAAAGCTCAAAAGCCCGGCCCTGCCAAGGTCCTGTGCCTTCCAGCTCCGACCTGGGCCAGGGTGGCCCAGGCTGGTGTCCCCAGTGTGCTGTGGGACCAGCCCTCCCTGCCCTTCCCTCTGCCCCAACTTCCCCAAAGTCCAGATCCTGGATTCCCACGTCCTGGACCTCCAGCCTGGCTCCTTGCGGGGGGGAACCCAACATCACCTCTCGGCGCCCATGCCCCAGATGGAGGCTCTCTGAAGACCCTACCCAGATTCAGGCCAGCCTCCCTGAATTTCTTTAGGACTGGTGGGACTCCTTCCTGTCCCTGGTCTAAGCTCCAGCTCACTGGCCACTGGCTGTGGTCCCAGGGGCTGTCAGGGCTAGGCCAGGTGCAGACTGGCAGGGGACAGGGGCAGCCAGGTGTAGGCAGCCCAAGGCTTGGCTGGGTTCCCGGAGTGCGGGGAGGGGGCTCGGGGCGCATGAAAAGGCTCAGCTGCTGGGCTGGTGAGGCTAGAATTTGAGGCGGTCCTGCATGGGCTTTGGCCCCAGGACAGATTCTTGGAACAAGGCTCAGCCTTCAGGGGGAGGAGGGGGCCCCGATCTGGCCGGACTGTGGACCCCAGGCAGGGCTGCCGGAAGGAGCTCAAGGTTGTATCTGCATGCCAGTCCTGCTTCCAAGAGGGGAGGAGAGGAGCTGCCCTCTCTCCTGTCCTGGATGAGGCCAGGGTGGACAGGAGCAGAGTCCTTCTGGGAAAGTGCAGCGTCCGAGGGGCCAAGGAGAGGCCGTCGAGGGCCCAGCGGTCCCACTCTGGGGCAGAACCTCGGAGCAGACGGGGGTCCCGGGGGACAAGCTGCTGAAAATAGGCCCTGGGAATGTCTGAGTGTCCATGACTCAGCTGAGCCTGGGGAAAGGGCAGGGGTGGACCCTGGAGAGGGAGGCGAGCAGTTGCCCTGGGGCGTTTGGCCATTCAGCCTTAGGAGGGAACAACCTGATGCTTGTCCACTTCCTTGCCTGTGCACATTGAGGAAGGGGCCTGGAGCCTGAGGCACTGCGTGGGGGCTTTGAGAACAGTGCGGGGAGGCCAGAGCGTGAATCACACAGCATGGAGGGAGGGAGGGCAGGGAGGGCTGTCCAGCTCCAGCAGCAGAACTCTGCCAGTGCGGGTGGGTGGCCGGCCCCACGGGTGGATTCCTCAGGGGTCACTGGGGTCCAGCCCTGCCTTCGCCGGCTCTCAGGTGCCTGGACCCTGAGTACTGCTGGGGAGCTGCCTCTGGCCCTCTCCGCAATTGTCCTGCAGGGCAGGCCCCTCCCGGTTCCCACATGGGTCCCCAGCCAGGCCTGGGCGGTGCACGGTCAGGCAAGGGCATGGGGATGTGGGAGGGAAGGATGAGCAGATGGAGGTGGCCTCGGACAGTGCCCCTGAGCCCCACTGCGGCCTCCCCCAGCTCTCAGGGTCCTGGGGTACCCTCGTGCTGTCCCAGTGCCAGGTGGGGCGTTCTGAGCAGAAAGACAGCCTGGGGCAAGCAGCTGAGCTGCTCCGTGCCTTGGTCCTGGCCACTTAGTTCCTTGGGCCCCAGCCACAGCCCTTGTGCACTAGGGGGTAAGGTGTAGGGAGGCTACACCTCACTGTGTCCTCCATTTGTTCAGGTAACAAAGGCCAACTGTGCCCCCAGAAGAGGGGCGAGGGGTGGAAGTCTGGGCCGGGCAAGTCTGGGTCTTCTTGGTCAGCTTGACCCCCTGGGCCGGCTCAGTGCTGCTCCCCTGGTGCCTCGGGAGCCAGGTGATGGGAGTAGGAGGCCTTGCAGGTGGCGAGGCCCAGGTCTCTAGGGAGGCTGTCCAGGCCCCGATGGGTACCCAGCCAAGCCTGAGCCGGGGGTGCACCTGGACATACAGTCTGGGGCGCTGATGGGGGCCCCGCTGCCTGAGGGAGGCAAGTCGAGTGGGGTGCTCAGGGGAGCTGGAGGAGCGTGCCAGTCTGCCGCCGGAGGTTTGGGAGGGTGCCAGGGAGTGTGTGTGTGTGTGTGTGTGTGTGTAAAACTGTGCTGTGTACCAACCAGCAGGCCAGTCACATGGCCCTTGGCCCCCTTTGGCATCCTCCCTTCACTCTGCAGCCCCGTGACCATGGCAACAAAGAATCACAGCAAGGAAAGCTCGCAGGAAACTCGTCACCCCAGTCTTCAAAGGGGGGCTCCCCCATGGTGGGCGGGGCTGGAGTGACAGTGAGGGGGGCATCCCTGGGGTGAGGTGGCTGGAGGAGAGGCCAAGGCTGGCTCACAGCCCCACCTGCCTGGAGCCTGAAGGTGGGCTGGAGGTGTGGGCTGGGCGGGGAGACAGGGGACCCAGACCAATGCACTCAGACACCGCTGAGTCCGCGGGCACCAGGACACACGTGGGCGCAGCCAGGCACCCCCTGTGGGGCCCAGCATCCTGCCCTGGAGCTCAGGCCTCTGCCCTGCAGGGCGGCCTTCTCAGGAAGATACAAGGGGGTACGTGCGACGTGTGTGCAACGTGTGTGTGGCCGGAGGCCCGGGATCCACTGGGACAGAACTCCACCCCCGCATCACCAGTGGTCTTGGCCCTTGGGCCCTTGTCCTCCTGCTGCCGCCCCTGCCTCTCTGGCCTGTCCACACTGCTGTCCCCTGCTGTGTGTCCCTGTCTGCCCCGCCTTCCAGGCTTCTGCTCTTCCCCCGGTCTGGAGCCAGGCCAGAGAAGTCAGGACCCACCCCCCTGCCCCCCCCCCCCAGTCACCGGCCAAGAAGACACCGAGGGACGGGTGGGCGTGCTGGGGGAGGTTGGGCTCATGGCCTTACCTCTAGACCCCATCCTGCGGTGTGCCAGCGCCAGGCAGAGGGGGCGGTGGGCCCAGAGGCGAGTGCTGAGGCTTCAAGGCTGGAGCAGGACAGTGTCCGCGAGTGGGAGTCTGGGGATCCCCCTGTGTGTGGTGTGCAGCCAAGCTCCTGAGGGCGATGGACAAGCGGCCACTCAGAGTTTCGTGGATGTGTTGCGAGCCTTGCAGACCCCAAAGCTTGCTGTGCCGAGTCCAGCTGGGGGCAGAACTGTGGCCTCAGAAAGGAGGTCACGGGGAGCAGGGGTGGCTGGAGGGAAGCGTGAGGAGCAGGACATAAGAGCATGGGGTCCAGTGTGCCGTCCTCCCAGGGGGTAGGCTCTTAGATCCCCAGAGCGGCCACACTCACCCCAAGCCAGGCCTCCCTGGGGGATGGAGGATGGGTCACCCATGGCTTCCCTCCTCTCTCCCAGTGCCAGGTAAGGGGACTATGGGGGGTAGGTGGGCTTTAGGGAGGATGAGGTTGGGGTCACTGGGTGCTGTCAGGGCTGAGTGCCTTTTTGGGGAGGCCGGGGGCCCCTGGGACCTCTTGAAGGATGGTCTCCAGCCCCTTCCATGAAGATGGGGCCTGGAGAGGCACAGGGACGGTGTTGTTTTGAGAGATGGGTGTGTCAGGGGGAGATGAGGACGCTGGCAGCTGAAGGGAGGGGCCGCGGACAAAGGGGAGGAGGGCAGGAGGAGCACCGAGGCTGGCCTGGACTGAGGGAACATGGAGTAGGGGCAGGGGAGCCAAGAAACTGGGTGCAGTGCCACTGAGTGGAAAGGTGAAGGGTCACAGAGGGGGGGGACGGGCCCTCCCCAGCAGAGAGAGAGGGAGGTGGAGAGGCCAACGGGTCACCAGGAAGGAGAACACCAGGAGGGAGAGGACGGTTAGGCGAAGCAACGCCCTACAAGCCGGGATTTCCAAGTGGGGGCAAGGAGGCCGGGACTCCACCCAGGCCTGGGCTAGAAGGAGGATGGGAGACCCCGCCCGGCGCCTGGGCCCCTCCACTCCGGGCGTGGGTGGAGCCCGATGGTCTCCTCCTGGCACCCGCCCCCACTTGCCCTGGGCGGCGGACGGAACCACTCCCGCCGGGCCCACTCGGGCCCCTCCCGCGGAGATAAGGAGCCCTCCCTAGATGAGATGCCCTGGACGTGGCCGCCTCCACCTTCCCTGGCAAAGCCCCGCGCCCCCGCACGGATCCCTGTTATCGCGGAGGGAGGGGACGCCCCGTGTCGGAGTCCCCTCTTCCAAATTCCCGGGGCTGCTGTCCCGTGGTCTTCTCGGGCAGCGGCGGGGGTGAGGGGCCCGGAAGAGGCCGGGATGTCCCGTGGGGGTGGGGAACAGGGGAGCGGCGGGCCTCCTGGCTCCGCGTGTGCTTAAAGCCGGAGGGGAGTTTTGGGGGACTGCCCTGCTGAGACGTCCTCGGTAATCTCCAGCCCTCTGTCTGGGACGGGGTCGGGTGCAAGTGTGCGAGGAGAAGTCCGCCCGCGCTGGTTTCCGGGCGGACGGATGCACGGGTCCCGCGCTCTCCCCGGACAACCCTCCCCCCCCACCCCTCCCCGCCGGCGGTCGGCTGGGCCCGGGCGCTGCGGGAGGCGGGGGTGGACCAGACGACCTTTCTTAGCGGGTTGGCCTGGAACCCAGGTCCTTGGGTCCACAGCCAGGACTCAGGGGGCGGGGCTCGAAGGGCGGGTCTCAAGGGGGCGGGGTCTTGGGGTCCCTGAAAGGCGCGCACCCGGCGGACCCACCCAGTCCCGGTCTCCTGTCTGCTCCCGCTCAGTGGTCTGCGCCGGACCCCCAGCCGCCATGCCTAAGTGCCCCAAGTGCGACAAGGAGGTGTACTTTGGTGAGCCTTCCCCGCCTACCCCAGCTCAGCCCCGGCCGGGAGCGCGCGCCCTGCGCCGCCCCCACGAGGAAGCGCGGCCCAGGGGCGACCCGGCCGGGCCCCTCCGGAGGGCCGGGCGCGCCGGGGGACCGGGGGCCGCGTGCCGAGAGCCGACACTTCAGCCCTGCCGGCTACCGCCTGGGTGTGCGGGTCAGGACCCCGGCGTCGGATGGCCCTGTCTCTGCTGATTCCGGGTCTCCGCCCCGCTCTCTTCCTGTCGGTCCCGCTGGGTCTCCCCTTGTCTGGGTCCCTCTTTCTTCAGGTGTCCCCGTCGCTGGGTATCCCCCGCTCTCCCGTCCCCCGTCGGCGCGCCCCGGGCGGGGACCGCGCGGCCAAGGGAGAAGCGCTGCGTTCTTGCCGCCCCTCCCATCGCTAAGCAGAAACGGACGCGGAAACCGGCGCCCGGGGCGTGATCCCGGGCGCGCTCGGAACCGGGTGCCGCCTCCCTGTCCCGCGCCCCGGGGCCCACCCAGGGGAGGAAGTGGGAAGTGTCTCTCCCGCCTCCGCCCCCAGAGAAGGGAGCCCTGCAGGCCCCACCCGTACGGCGCCGCGGGTCACCCATGCCCCCGCCCCCGGCGCTCCGGGTCTCCTCCGGCAGTACCACCCCGCGCCCCCTCCCGTTTGTTTGGCCGGATTGGCCCAGGGGACTGGAGGTGCCCCCCCCCCACCCATGCGGCACAGGGCTGAGACCCAGGGTGGGCCACCAGGCGCCCCGGGTGAGACCAAGGGTGGAGGGAACCGGAGAAGGCTGCTGTGAATAGGTGGATGTGCCCTGTGACCCCAGAGCAGGGTCTTATGCTGGGTGGGGGGCACCGTCTGTGCCTCTGCAGCTGAGCGGGTGACCTCTCTGGGGAAGGACTGGCATCGGCCTTGCTTGAAGTGTGAGAAATGCGGGAAGACGCTGACGTCAGGGGGCCACGCTGAGGTAGGTGGGGCCTGGAGGGCTGCAGGGGCGCGGGGTGAGGGCGGACAGCCTCTCATGGCCCTTCTCCCTGCAGCATGAAGGCAAGCCTTACTGCAACCACCCCTGCTACGCCTCCATGTTCGGGCCTAAAGGTATGCCTCCCCCGCCCTCACCCAGACCCCCGCCCACCCCTAGCCTGCCCTGAAGGTATGGTTCCCCGGGCCACCCCTCACCTGCCTCCTCTTTTTTCCTGCAGGTTTTGGGCGGGGTGGAGCTGAGAGTCACACTTTCAAGTAAACCCAGGTACCAGCCCAGACCATCAGGCCTTCGGGATGGTCCCCTCATTCCTGAGGGAGGTCTGACTGCTCTCTGTGTCTGCATTCACCTCTCTCTCTGCGCAGGTCATGGGAACACTGTCCCCGGCTGCCCACCGGGCCACTGCCCCTCCAGGCTGATTGCAGGCCTCATCCGCAGGCACCCGGGGCCCCCTGTCAACTCTCATGCCCTCAATAAAGTTGAACACTCAGAAGCCTTGCCTGTGTGTGCAGAGGAGGGGGAGAGGCTTTGGCGGGGGCATGGTGGTGGGGAGCTGCCGCTGGCCGCTGTGATGCCAGGGGCACTGGCTCTTCCTACCGCACCTGGCCTTGTGGCTCACCGCCCTGTGGGGTGCTGTGCTGGGGGCCTCCCAGACTGAAGCTTCCTCTACAAGACAAGTGGCTGGCCACCCAGGAAGGGCCCACGGTGGCTCCACTCTCTAGCTCCCAGCCCAGTAAATGCTGCAGCCTCCAGAGGCTGTGGGATAGGCCGAAGGGAGGCTCTACAGGTCAGCGGGATCGTAAGGCCTAGGAGCTGATGGGTGGTGGCCACAGGGTGAACCAGCTGTGCTCACCCTGGTTCCGTTTTTGAGAAGCTCTGGGGGAGTTGTGGTGAGGCGTCCTTGCCTGCTCTCTCCACTTCCTGCCCCACCCTTGTCCCCATTACCACCCGAAGGCCAGCCATGTTCCTGCAGGGGCGTGAACTTAGACACCCCTCGTCTCCCGCCCCCCCACCCCATACCGAGTGGCCAGCCACTAAATGGAGAATTTGAGGACTGTCTGGGCAGTGGATAGTTGGGGGCTTTCTGGAAACTCCCATGTCAATTCTAGCAGTACCTGCAGACTGAGCCACACGCAGAGCCCTCCCCATTGCCTCCTGGCCACTCGGACTCCAGCCCCGGCAGAGGGCCACCCCTCCCAGGCCTCGGCCTTCTCCAGGGTTTTGCAGGCCTGAGCTGGACAGTCTGGTGTGTGTGGGGGTTCCTCAAGGGCCACATGTAGGGTGGGGGAAGGTTACTGGGTGGCTTGCAGAACTCCGGGAGGTGGGAGCCACGGTTCGTTTGGAAGACCGGGGTGGGAGGAAACAGACGGTGCCAAGGTGAGGCGCTGGTTTCCCAGTGGACCCTGGGAGGGTGGGGGCTGGGGCCGTCGCGCCAGAGCGCGGAGTCGGGGTGCGCAGGAAAAGCTGCACCAAGTGCTGGGAGGGGCAGCGCCGAACGAGGCCGCAGAGGCTCCGGACTCCGCCGCGTTCTGGGGCCTGGGGGGGGAGCTCGCAGCCGGGATGCGTGCGGCGCGGATCGCCGGCGGCTAGAGCAGGTGGGTCAGGACTGTGGTCTTTACTTTGGCGTCGGCAGAGCGGCCTGCGGGGACCAGGCTGGGCCGAGCGGAAGGGGGGTTGGAGGCGGGGACCGGGGACTCCTGGGTAGGAGCCGGCGGTGTCGGAGCGGGGGGCGGGCGACGGTGAGGACCGCGGTGGGGGCCGGGACCCGCCCCGACGCGCTTCCTTGCAGGCGTGGCCACGGCCGGCGCGCGGAGGGACGCGTGGGCCGCCGGCTCGGGCCGCTCCGCCGCCTCGCAGAGGTAGGATTTACCCGCCGCACGTTCAGAACCGGACCGCGCGGGCCGCCGGCTCTAGCCGGGGGCGCAGGGCTCTGCAGGCGGGGGCGCTGCCGTTCGGGGCAGACGCGCGCCGCCTCCCTGCCCGCGCCGGGGCGTCCGTGCGCGCTGCCGGACTCTGGGGCCGCGGCCTCCGGGGACCCTCCAGACCGCGGTGCGGGGCAGGGCTTGGGTGCGGAGGCGCCGCCCGCACCCCGCGGGAGCCCCTGGCGCGCCGGCCGGGCCGGGGTTCGCGGAGGCCGAGGGGCTCCGGCGCGCTCAACCGCGGACGCACGCAGGGCTGCTCCCCGGCCTCTGGCGCGAGGCTGGGCGGGGCGCTGGGGGGCGGGGCCTGAGCGAGGCGGGTCCGCGCGATTGGGCCCCAGGGCGGAGCTGTCGACGTCAATTGGCCCGTGCCGCCCAGGAACGGCCTCCGCACTGGACAGGACAGACGTCACTCAAAGGCCCCGGTGCCGTTCATTGGGCCGGCGCTGGAGGCGGCCGGGCGACGGCCCAGCGCAGCGGTCGCCGCGCGCAATCCGAGGGAAGCCGGATGCATGGGGCGGCGGCGGCGCCGGGGGTGCCGGGGGTACGCGGTCGGGGCCCTGCCCGAGGCCATCGCCGCGCTGAGTCAGACGCTGCCCGCCGGGCCCAGCCCCGAAATCTTCCGCCGCGCCAAGTTCGACCGTCCGGAGGCGGTGAGGCCCGGACGCCGGGGGACGGGGGTCCGGGCGGACGCAGGGAGGCGGCCGGTCCCGCTGAACGCCGCTTTTTGGTCTTCCCAGGCCCCGGCGCTCTGGCAGCTGCTCTTCCGCGTGCTCTCGCCGCCGGCGGCCGCCGGCGCCCGGGCCTCCCCTGCCCTCGGTAAGCTCCGCCTTCCCCGTGAGGCCCGCCCACTCACCGCGGGTCCACCTGCTCGCGCAAGCCCCGCCCCAGTTAGCCACGCCCCCACAGTAAGCCACGCCCCCGCGGGCTGGCTCTATCCACTCACAGACCCTGTGCCTGGGCCCGCCTCCTGTAAAGCCCCCGCCCGGTTAGCCCCGCCTCCCTGGTAAGAACCCGCCCCTACGGGCCCTGACCCCGCCCCCTCCACCTGCTCGGGCAAAGCCCCGCCCGCCTCATGAGCCCCGCCCCCATTAGCCCAGATACCGTCACCCTGTGAGTACGGATTGTTCACTCCAAACATGGCCTCTCTTCTTGGGGGTCGTGCCGGGTCTCCCCGTGGGCGGCCCCCTGAGCAGGCGGTCCTCCATCCCTAGGGGCCCAAGTCCGCCTGGTGAAGTCGGCGCTGTGCTCCCAGGGCTACCCCAGGCGGGTGCTGGCACAGCTCCCTGAGGACGGCTCCCAGGGCAGCCGTGAGCTTCTGCTGGCGCTGGCCTGGCTGCTGGCCCGCGGGCCCCTGCTGGAACACCTGCTGGCCCAGACTCGCGTGTGGCTGGGTGATGAGATACCCCTGTGCCAGGTGTGTCTGCCTGGAGGGGGCATGGGACTGGGGGCTGGCAGGCTGCCTGGGTGCGGCCTGGGCCAGCCCTCAGGTCCGCCCTGGGAGGGTCCACATTTCCCCTCCCTGCTCCCGCCTCCTTCCCTGGCCCTCCTTCTGGGCAGGGTGGCATGTGTGCTCATAGGGTGTGATCCCCAAGTCTCCTCTTTTTTTTTTTTTTTTTTTAGATTTTTTTAATTATTTATTTGACAGGCAGAGATCACAAGGGGAGAGGCAGGCAGAGAGAGAGGGGAAGCAGCTCCCTGCTGAGCAGAGAGCCCGATGTGGGGCTCGATCCCAGGACCCTGGGATCATGACCTGAGCCGAAGGCAGAGTCTTTAACCCACTGAGCCACCCAGGCACCCCTCCAAGTCTCCTCTTGGCAGCCCTGGGGGCCCATGGCTCTCTCTCCAGGAGCCTCTTTTTTCCTGTCTCCCTTGGGGTCTCCACAGGGAATATGGGAGCAGGGTGTGACCCTTGTGCCCTCTTCAGTATGAAGCCCTGGCCAATCCTGGCCCACCTGCACCCTGCCAAGAAGCAGATGGCCCTGTGGACATACGCCACTTGCAGTGGCTGATGGGAAAGCTGCGGTTCCGGTGGCGAGACCTGATCACCAGTCAGCAGGAGCTGTGTGCCCTTCTGGGCAAGGTATTGTCCCCTGAGGACTGTCTACCCAGGGGCACTTACTCTCTGGCTGCCTCTCTCTGCCGGAGGCCTGTCCATCCAGTCTGGAGCCTGGCCTTGGGCTGCATGGGGCCCAGGCCTGGCTGGGAGCTGACCCGTTGGGCACTGCCCTGCAGTGGCCCAGAACCTGAGCCCAGGGCTTCAGGTGTTCCAGGAGGGGTCCTAGGGCAGGTGGAGTTGGGCATCCCTGGGGCAGTGAGTCAGTGGAGCGGGGAGCCTGTGGGGTTGGCCTTCCTGGTTCCAGAAGTCATCAGAGCCCTCAGGCTCTGTCTCTGAGAAGAAATGGGTTCTGGGCCCTGGGGGATCCGCTCCTGCCTGGGCCTGTTTCTGGAACCAAGGTACCCCTTCCTTCTCCCACATCCTGGGTGTAGGCTGATGGGCAGTAGGCAGCTTCTTTAGGGTTCCTGAGGGCAGGTAAGGCACAGCTTTGGGGGCACAGGTCCCTCTTACAGGTGTAGTGCAAAGTCCAGGTTGAGAGGTGGCTGGGCAGGGAGGCTCGGACTCCCACCAGCATAGGGCTTCTCCATGCTGGGCCCCCCACTCTGTACCTCTGCACCCCGGACCTGTGCACCCCACACCCGTGCACCTCTGCACCCCTGCAGAAGACCTTTTGCTCCTTCAGTCCTTCTTGGAACCTGTGTCTCTCTTTCTTGGCTCAAGCTTCACTTGCTTGTCCTGGCTGGGACATGGCTACCCGTTAACCTCCATGATGCCTTCTGGTCTCACCTTGCCGGGAAGCCTTCCCTGCCCCCCAGACCCAAACAATCACTCTGTGTCCCCACCACTGGCTGCACCGGACCACCTAGCTTGTCCAGAGGCTGTTTCTTCCACCACATGGACCTGGCAGTTGATGACCTTAGGGAGAAGCAGGGGTGCCCCATTCCGTCCCCGCCAGACTCCTGGGAACCGTGTGGGAGGGGGACACTATAGGCGGGACCGCCCAGTGCCCCTCGCCCTGCAGGGACCTCCTGGAGGGCCTTGGGCCAGTGCCCCAGCAGTGCTGACTACTGTCCTAAGCCTGACCCTTGCCTGCCCTGGAGCACCTTGGCGAGGTGTGGCCCATTTCCTTGCCTGTAAGGGAGGCTCCAAAAACCTCCCTCGGCACTTGGAGAAGCGCCCCTTTCTGCTCACCTGGGGTTTGCACTGCCTGTTTCAGATGCACTCCTATACCCGTGGCTGCCACAGTGACCGCAGCCTTGGCCACCTGTCTGTTGCTGAGATCCAGCTGCTCAGGGACCCAGAGGGCGGCCAGCAGGTGAGGGCTGGTGTGTGTTGGTACCATAGGAGTGCAAAGAAGTGAGGTGGTGGGGGTTGAGGTGGGGAGGGACCTGAGAAGGAGGACCCAGCTGCCCAGCTTTGAGCCTGGGTGATTGCCCAACTCACCATCTTGCTGGTGTGGGGGACAGGAATGTCCTCAAGGCCTTCCCCAGCTCCCTAGACCGTCCAGTGGTGCAGGAATCTAGACCAGCTGCTGTGTGTACATGTGGCTGGGCATGGTTAGGGCCCCAGGGGCACAGGTGTCTAGGCTGGGCTGGCAGCTGGGTTGGTGGGGGGGCTCTGGAATTAAGGAAGACTGCTCAAGGGTTCAAGCTCATGGGGTAGGTGCCTGGAGTGCGTGCAGGGGTCATCTGGCAATTGAGGTGGTGGGAGGAGGGGTGGTCTAGCATGCCCCACACTTTGCTGAGTTTCTTTTCAGGAGACCGCATTTTGTCTTGGTTGTCTTCTTCCCTTGGGCTGCATGTCTAGGCTGTCCTGGGACAGGCCCAGGGCTGGCTGTCACTTGAGGGCTGGGCTCTGGCACTTGGCACTGTCCAGCCTGGGGGACACTTGGCCAGGCAGGAGGGCGGACGCTCAGGGCTGGAGTGGCCCCTCTTTCCAGGTCCCGCAGATCCTAGCTCTGGAGTCATGTGCTCCTTTTTGTGGGGCTGGGGTAGCCACCTGGGGTGTCTGCCAGGCCTGTGTCCCCGGCCAATCCCTGGCTGGCCCTGCTCAGGCAGGGCTGCACTGGTCCCTGAAGGTGCAGAGACAGTGTCTCGGCGACCCGAGGAGCCCTTGGCTATGTCCTCTTCTATGGGTGACTCGGCAAGGCCCAGGCTTCCTGCCCTTGGGCCCCCCGCCCCCAGGCTGGAGCAGAACAGAAGCTGCACCAGCCCCAGCCAGGTGTTGCCTGGGGCTCCGGCCTCTATGGTGTGGGGGCCTGTGGGGCTCCCCCTTGCTTCTGAGGCTGGGCTGTGTTGGTGCTGCAGGACTGCAGACGGCACGAGGTGGATGGGGGTCACGGTTGGCTTCCTTCCAAGGTTTCTGGAGGGGGAGCTGGCAGAAGCCTGGGCCAGTGTACCCAAAGGGCCTGCACTCTTGGGACGGGTCCCAGAAGCTTCCCGAGTGATCTACGGTTGCTGCGCGAGGCCAGGCGTGCTGTGGACTAGCTGGGCAGTGAGCGTGCTTGCTTCCTGGCTGGGGCTGCAGCCTTATGTCCCGGTGCCTGGCCCCAGGGCAGCAGGATGGAGCAGGGGGGTGGGGGGTGTCTCAGGATGCTCTAGCACTGGGCCTGAAAGTCAGAGGGCAGAAGGGACTTGTAGCCTCTTCCTGTTGTGCTGCCCCCCTTTCCTGAAGCTGGGGAGGGGGGGAGCATGTGGGGACCTGAACTGTGCACACGCTCGCGTGTGGCCTGCACCCTCCCCGTGTCTCCGTGCTCCGAGGCGGTGCTCCCTTAGACCCACGGGTGGTTCTCTCTGTCGGTGAGCCTCCGAGCCACACGTGCCTGTTGTGCAGGGTGTGGTGGTTTGGCAGAGCTCTTAGCTGTCCCTCTGTCTTGGCCCCAGAACATGCTGCTGGGTTCCCAGGAAGCCCAGCATCTCTGTCTTCTAGAAGGAGCAGTGCTTGTGGCCAGTGCTGGCTGCTGCGTTCACAGAGGAGTCGTAGCAGGAAGGAGCCTGTGGCTTCCTGGTGGGGGTGGCGGGTGGGGGGTGGGGTGGGGGAGATGGGGGGCACTGGGTGGGGCTGGGGGAGGCCTGCACTGGACCTCCGCGGGGCTGAGCGGGCCCTCTGGTGGTGGGACTGGCAGGAGCTGGAATACGTGGCCATCCCGGGACCCGCGTGTCTGGGTGGGGTCTGCACGTTTGGGGCTGAGCCAGGTGGGTTGGGGGGTTCCCCCAGGCAGGGTTCTCTTCCCGAGAGCCTGGCAGCCTCCCCATCCTGGGCCTTCCTGCTCTGCCCGCGTCTCGGGTGCAGCCCCCAGTTAGTGGGGGGCGTGGGGCAGAGGTCCTGAGTCGAAGGTCCTTGTTGTCCGCGCCTGGCCCTGTGGGGCCCACCTTTGGGGCCGGTGTGGGGCCCACAGGTGTGGTCGGCCTGGCGCTCCCTGGCAGTGGGGCCGCCCTGCAGGGCACGTGGCTGATGGGAGCGACTGGCTTGGGGTGGGACCGGCGGGCCTGACGGCTGTGTGGCCGGCGCTGCGGCCCAGTGGGGTTGTGTGGCCACGGTTTGTGGTTTGCTTTGCAGCTGCTTCAGAGGCTGGAGAGCGAGAACACGCGCCTGGAGGCTGCCCTGCGGTGGCAACGTCAGGAGCTGGTCTTCTGGCAGTGGATGGTACGCCCGGCCCCCTCCCTCCCCTGAGCCGTGACCCCAGCAGCCGGGGTGGGGCGGTCAGCTGTGTTCTTCCCGGAAGGAGGAGACGGGAGGCCACGTACACACGCAGCCACGCAGCTCGTGTTAGGACCCGGCTTGCCCGAGTCGGAGGCCTTCCAAGATGTCTGTCTGTCCCATCACCTGCCCTTAGGGGGCCTTCCACAAGTCTAGCCTTCGTGCCTCCCTGGCCTCGCGGCCCGTGGGCATGATGGGTGGCTGTCCGGGGTTGGGGTGCGGGGAGGCCGCTGCTCCCAGGCCTCTGCACCTTCTGTCCCCACTGGCTGTGGGCTGTGCTAACGAGGCTTGGGCTCGCTGCCTGCCTCTTACTTGGGTCTCTCTCTGCAGGACACGGTCCTGGGCAGCTGCCCCCCGGGAGCCTCACCGGCCGCGGTTCTGCCCAGGGACCCTGCGTCGGGGCCTGGCGAGTTGGAGCTGGTGGCCCGGGAGCTACAGGGCCTGCATGGGGAGTTGCAGGGGGCTGCAGAGCCCCGGCGGGCAGCCTGGGAGGCCAAGGTGGGGGCCTAGGGCAGACACGGGGCACAGTGACACAGCCCTCGTGGAACTCCTGCGGTTGAAGGCTGGGAGGCAGGGCAGACTGCAGCAGCCCTGGAGGGTGGTGGCCGGAGGAGTCCCGCTGTCCCAGCCCCCAGCCGCAGCCCCGTCCGCGTGCGGCAGTGCTCTCCATGAGCGGGACCAGCCACAGTCCCTTCGTGGTTCCTGAAGCGTCTCGGTGGAACTCGTGGGCACAGTTTCCCCCAAAAGCCTGTAGAGCCGCGTGAGGAGCAGCCCGCAGCCCTTTGCCCTCTGCTGTGGTGGCCGCTGGAACGTGGCTGGTGCTCACACACGCGTCTCACAAGCTGTCTGCCACCGTGCGAGGCTTTGGACTAGAGCCCACTGAGGGCTGCACCTTGGGGACACAGCCTCTTCTCAGTCCCCCACCCCACAGAGCCTCTGGGATGGGCCCACCTGGAGGGTCAGAAGTAGCCTCCACAGCCGGTGTCCCCTTGGGCCAGCCCGCTGCATGCTCCCCATCCTGGGAGCACTGGGCCCGGGGAGGCCGATTCAGCAGAGGACAGTGGGTGTGGGAGGTTGACACTGACCCTGGCGTGGTGGGTCGGGCTGTGGGTAGGTGGGTCAGGGGTCTGTGCTCGGCTTTGAATGGGCCGAGGGGGACTTGGTGATCTGTGGAGTGGGTCGGGCCTGCAGCTGCCGGCCCTGTCCCCGGGGCCCCTCCATGGGCTCAGGGCTCAGGTGCTCCTTGAGGGAGACGTAAGGGCTGGAGGGGCCTGCACTGTGGTCGGCTCCCTTCCCAGGAGGAGTCAGATCTGGGCTGTCAGCCCTTCTCAGGGCGCGGCTGGGGTTGGTGCTGGGGCCGAGGGGGCTCACAGCCTGTGACCTGGGCAGGGTGTGGCTGCCCCCGCCTCAGGACTTCCCCCTTCCCCCCTCCCCCTGTGCAGGCTGGAGGCTGGGGGCCGGAGTGGAGCACTGCGCAGCGGGCCATACAGGAGGCTGTGGGGCGGGACCTGGCAGCTCTGCAGCGGGCCTGGGAGCAAGGTGGGGCCCCGGCGCTGCCCCACAGGCCCTGCAGGCTGGTGAAGAGGGATGCCAGAGCCGTGGAGGGCCCAGGCCTTTGGGCTGCCGAGCTGACTGGGGCGCTGAGGATCCGGGAGAGCCGCCTGGAGGCTGTGCTGGGCCGGCTACAGACACGGTGTCGGCAGGAGCTGGCCAGGCTGGCGGGAGCCGAGCCCGGCCTCATCTGGATCCTGCCGTCTGGTCGCTGAGGGCCCGAGGGTGTGTCCTGCGGAGGGGCGCTAGCCCCGATGCCCTGAGAGCCTCGGAGGAGCGGGTTTCCGGGTGGCCCAGGGATGCTGCAGACACGACCCCCTGGGGTGCTTGCCCTGAGCTCTGGCCCATCCCTGCTTTGGGACATACTGGAGGCAGACATGACAGGTGTCTGTGGGTGTTCAGGATCAAGAGAGTATGCAGAAATGAGTTGTAGAGGCCTCCCTGCAGGGGTGAGGCCCTGTCCTGGTCCCCCCTCAGCCAGCCCTCCAGGTTCCCGTCTGGGGAGGGTCAGGTCTGTGCTCAGGCCCAGGGAACGGGAGGTAGCGAGGGCCAAAGGAGGGCTGGTCCTGGGCTGCCCTGGAGCTGGAGGGTCAGGCATGGCCTGAAGTATGGACTGGGCCTCAGGGTCCTGGGGGAGGGGACAGCCCTGGATGTCACATCCACACTGCGTCCTGGGCCCCCACTGCTGTCCCACCTTGTGCCTGGGCCTGGTGTGTGTGCGTGTGTGTTGGGCAGGGATGCTGGCCGGGAGCCTGGGGGTGGGGGATGCTGTCCCTTTCCTGGGGGCGGTGCTGGGGGTGAGGGGGAGGCCACTGTGGACAGAGGGGGCTTTGTTCGTGGGACTGTTCGGGGAGCTGGGCTCGGCCCTGACAAAGAGCCATCTGTCTGGGTGATGTGTCCCCAGCTCGCCGGAACACCCCCCTCCGTCCCAGGGTCTCAGCCTTTCGGCACCCCTCACCCAGCAGGCACAGACGGCTTCGTCCTGCCTCTCTCAGTCCGGGACAGCTGAACCCCTGCCTGCTGCTGGGCAGGTGCAGGGGCCTGTCGGCTGCCTCCTACTGCCAGCCGGGTCAGGCCCAAGGACGCTCTCGCAGCCTGGGTCCCCACGGAATGTTCTCTCGTTGGCTTTGCCCGCGGGACACCCGGTGCTCCCTCTGCACTGGTCAGACCAGGCAGACTGGTCAGGAGGGCATCCCTGACCCTCCTCACGGGCCTGGCCCGTGCAGTCTCTGGGCCGGGGTCCTTCCCTCCCAACCACAGCCCCCCTCCCAGCTCCTTGTCAGAGTTCCAGCTGTGGTCCAGGGCTCACGGGGCCTCGACCCTCTGCCCGCCGTCCTCTGAATGTGTAGAGTCCCTTTTGGACTCCCTGCAGCCGACCCCTCTGCCTGCCATGTCCTCAGCCGTCCTGACCACCGGCGGGACCCTGACCACCGGCGGGACCCTCCTCATCTGGGAAGCAAGCCCACTCAAAGCTCCCTGCCTTCTGGGGACTGCCCTTGAGCCGGGTCCCCCGTGGGCCCTCGGGAGCTCGACGTGTAGAAGCCAGAGGCACGCTCAGTTCTATGGGGCTGCCCTTGGTCAGACTGATCTGTGGATCCAATACAAGCCCACTCAAAACCCCACTCGTGTCTGTGCGACTTGGCTGTGGACGCTGGGGCACGTGGGGTGGGTCAGGCCCGGAGAGGCCCAGTCTGGGCAGGGGAAGCCAGCAGGTGTGCTCTGCAGGCTCAGTGGCAGGAGGTGTCCGGAGAACTAGAGAGGCCCATCCCCTCCCTTGGGGCCGCAGTCTGATGCTCCCCGCCTCCCCTGCAGGGACGGGACAGGTCCACAGGCCTGAGGCAGCCTCCGGAGCAGACGCAGGTGCAGGCCTGCAGAGCTCACGTACGCACGGCGGGCTGGTGGGGGGCGGCGAGGCCATGGGGGACAGCGGCGGACAGTGGGGACCAGCAGGGGGGGCTATGGGGTCCGCGGGGGGGGCAAGGCAGTGGGGGGAGTGAGGGCCCGCCGGGGGGCAGTGGGACTGCTCTGGGCAGGCAGGTGTCTGTGAGGATGCACAGGGGAGCCCAGGCTCTCCAGGGAGATGTGACGTTCCGGCAGCTGTGGAGACGAAGACGCCACAGTGCATGACCCCAGCACCTGCTGCTCCGATGGCCCCAGAGAAACAAGGAGAGACGCGCTGCAGTAGAACCCCGTGACGTCGTAACCTGTGAGGACGTGTGGAGGAGACAGAGGCAGGAGCCCTGGAGAAGAGGGATCGGGGTCATAATGTGTCCGGGCCCCAGGGTGGACACAGGCCCGGTGGAGGGCAGGGGGGTGCGGGCTTGACCCAACGCGGGGAGTGGTCCGTGACCTGCAGACTCCCGCCTGCACATCAGCTGGGCCAGTGGGAGTGGACCTCGGGTGGCACCGTGGCCGGGCCTCCTGGGAACACAAGAGCAGGGACAGTTCAGAAACGGTGACCGGCAAGGACACCCTTAGATCAGGAGCCGTTACAGGCTGCCGTGCAGATGCTGGCCCCCTCGGCTGTTGAACTGAACACGGCCGGCAGGACCTCTGGGCGAGCCCCGCACACAGGTGCGTGTGTGTCAGCTGCTGCGTCCACGGCGCCGGCCCCACACCAGGTCCACCGGCCGGCTTCCCGTCCCTTCAGTTCAGGGCCTCCTCACACTGCTGGTTGACCGTGGCCAGGTCTGGGCTTGGGGGCGTGGTGGGCTGGGCCGCCGGCTGGTCAGTACACCTCTGGGGGGACACCTGCTGGACGCTTCCAGGGTCCTGCTAAAGGTCAGACTCCGGCAATGGGACGCTTCTCAGCGGCACGTAGGGAAATCTGGTTGGAGGGACACAGCTGGTGGTTGGTCCACAGCCACCCCCTGCCCCGGGTCCTGCCCTGCGGCTGTGGCCCCCAGCCCTGCACGGGTCCCCACACTCCCGTGTCCCCTACTGGATGTTGGGCACTGCGTGTGGCCAGTCGCCGTCCTCCCATGTCTGCCCTTTTTGGCTGAGCTGCCTATTCCCCACTCATCCACCAACCGGGGCTGACACTGCCCTGGACGGCGGAGGCCAAACCCCACAGGCAGGGCGGCCGTGCCGTGGGACTGGGGGGTCAGGGGTCAGAGACTTGGAGGACAGGCACTGAGTGGCCCTGGAGGGGGGTCAGACAGAGGAAACCGGGTCTGTGTGTGGGGGGAAGCAGCACTGAGAGAGGGCCTCGGGGAGGGGTGAGGTGTGCAGGGGTCCTGAAGATGAGGTACAGGGGCTCGGCGGGCTCCGGCGGACTTGGGGATGGGGTCTGTGGTGTAGGAGTTGTTGGCTCTTCCTCGGATTGCTGTTTGTTACACCCAAGATTAGTCCCCTCCCCTTCTGGGGACAGTTTTTTTAATTTTTTTAAAGATTTTATTTATTTATTTGACAGACAGAGATCACAAGCAGGCAGAGAGGCAGGCGGAGAGAGAGGAGGAAGCAGGCTCCCTGCTGAGCAGAGAGTCCGATGCAGGCTCGATCCCAGGACCCTGAGACCAGGACCTGAGCCGAAGGCAGAGGCTTTAACCACTGAGCTGCCCAGGTGCCCCCAGTTTTTAACTTTTGATGGTGAAAAGTAACATGAAGTTTACTGCCTTAACCAGTTCTAAGTGTATGGGTCAGTCCTGTTGTGCACAGTCACGCTGTCATGAAGTAGATCTCTGGAACCTTCCATCCTCCCCGAGGGCCACTCTGGCCCCATGCACGCTCCGTGCCCTCGCCCGGCCCCCGAGCCCCAGCCCACTGTGTCTGTGCGGACGGACTCCTCTAGGGACGTCGGTGAGGGGTCACAGGGTGTCTGTCCTCCCGTGAGTGGCTGAGCTCAGTCCGTGCGACGTCCCCGTGCTTGGGCCTCGTGGGGGCAGGTGCTGGGACTTCCTCCCTTGAAGAAGACCGAGGAGGAGTCCACGCGCAGACGGACCACGTCTTTCTCCTCCTCCTCCCAGCTGTGGCTGTTGTGGGTAACGCGGTGGCGGACGTGATGGTGCAAACACCCCCACCCCTCTAGTTGGATCGCCGAGGCCGGAGGCCGCCGTGACGGTAACGACAGAATGTGAGCAGGCACGGGCCCGGACCAGGCTTGTCGCCCCGGGGCAGGGGGGGGTCGGAGGCAGCAGGCGGCTCTTGCCCGAGGTCACGTCTCAGGGTCTGGCATGGCCCTCCCTCAGGGCTCTTCACAGGACCCCCTGCTCAGAAGAAACACCTGATGGTTCTGTGCGTCAGGGCCCAACGGCGTAATGGACCTTAATTACGCAGCAGCCGTTCAGAAAAAAAAAAAAAAAAAAAACCCAACTACGCACACACTGGAAATGTGTCTTACATCACTGTGGTGACGTCCGCGGCATGTCGTGGGTCAGCCACTGCGAGCTCTGCGCGCCTCCTGAAGCCGCGGACCACAGCCGCCACTGGAACCGGGGCCTGGCTGGCGTGGGGCTGGCGCTGGTGCCCCTGCTGTAACCCTGAGCTTGCAGAGAGCCCAGGGGGGCGACGGTGCCGGGCCGTCCTGAGACCCTGCGGGATCGGGCTTGTTGTGCTTACCTGCTTCCCTAAAAAAGCCCTGAGAATCTGCTGTGGCCCCTTTGGCAGCCTCGGGACCAGGTCTGGGCACTGCGGCCCAAAGGAGTGCACGTTTTGGGGTTTCCCCATTCTGTTTCCCTCCACTTGGTGTCACGCTTTCAAGCTCCGTCCTCGAAGCTGCTTCTGTCCGGTGGGTGAGATCCCACAGGACCCGTCCACCTCCCATGCGGGACACCTGCTGCCTCCAGCTCTGCCATCACAGAAGTGCCCGCCCTCCCACGGCCGGGAGCCCAGGAGCAGAGCAGCGGGCCCCGGCATGTGGCCAGGGATGCCGGCCGTGCACCCCTCCAGCCGCTCCCCCTCCCACCAGCCACGACGTTCTCGTCCCCGAGACCTCCCTCAGCCCTGCCTGCCTTCCACAGGTTTGCAGGCGAACGGGCCTCAAGTGGTCTCCGAATTTACACGACCCATGTCCACTCACTGTCCGCGTCTCCACCGGCTCCCGCTCGGCTGCTCGGGTGAGCCCGCCCCGTCCTGCAGCCACACGTGCCCACACTGCCCGCCCCACACGGACTGCGCTCACCGTTGTCCCCACTCTGTCTCTGGGCAGACGCCTGCTCAAGCTTGCCCTTTGCCGAACGGAGACTTCCGGTTCCGCCTTCACCAGATGGGGCGTCCTGTGGCTCCTCAGTTCCGACGGCGAG